ACATCTGGAAGCAGGAATTAGGAAAATGTTAGGCATTTTTCCCCTCATTAACTGACAATGAATCACCCCAAAACAGTTGTCCATTCATTTTTTTGTTTGTTGTTGTTGTTGTTGTTAAATCAGAGACTCCCTCTCCCACCATAATATCCCTTCCACGCGTTACAGGCCTGTGTAACAGTGAGTTTAACAGCTCCTCTGGGTGCCCACTGTTTGGTGGTGACTGCACGACAATCCTTTTGATGATGCTCCACGTACACTGCCCACCTTTCTAGAAACGCGCTGCGTGGAGGTTTACAACACGTTCGCCCACCGGCTTTAATCACTTTTTATTTTTTTGGTTTTATTTTATTTTTTTATGCCGGGCGGTAAATCAAACGTTTCTCGTGTCACAGACAGTCACGACTTCTTCCCATCATCAGCGGAGTGGAGGCGAAGTGAGAGCGTGGACCGCGAGCAACAGATGACTGGCAAAACAAACGCGCCTCAAACTGAATGGCGCTACAGCGGCTCGTGCTGCCCGACACACACGTCTGGAGGAGAGGTGATACTGTGCTATTCTTCACATATATATGCTTTATATATTTATATACCACAGCCACACTGTGAGGGATTCAAAGCTTAGAGTGCAAAGTGTCCGCCGAGGGCAAACAAAGAGGAGAAAACGAGCCCGGCTGTGTTACCTTGTTCGCAGCGGAGGAGGATTCAGACATTATCTCCCGTCAACTTCTCTCCTTCTCCTTCCACTTTTCCGTTGGGCTCTCCGCTTTATCTCCTTTTCTTTCCTACGGAGACCCGCACAGCGGCTGCAGGAGGAGGAGAAGAAGCAGCAGTCCGACTGCTCGGCGGCTTGTTGTTGTGGGAGAAGTTGGTTTTTTTCATGTAGCCCCGCTTTTCCCTCTCTATCTGCTGGCCGGGTCCATAGCGCGGCTGTCGGTGTGAAAACTTCTTTTGTCTGCGTGTGTTTTCCCTTCATATGTCGGCAGCGTGCTGGTTAATAATCCCTTCCTGGAAGAGCAAGACTAAAGACACTCTCTCTCTTTCTCGCTCTCTTTTGCTCTCTCGCTCGCTCTCTCTC